TTTTAAATTGTAACCTATATAGCTGTAAGTTTTATTATGTGAAATAAATAAATATATATATATATATATATATATATATATATATATATATTTACATTTACTTCTATTGCGTGATTAGGATTTATTAATTAATCATGGTGAAATATAGCTATATTCTTCTCTATGCCAAATAATAGCCGTGTTTTAAATTTTGTAATGATTTATAAGGTTATTAAAGTGGTTAAGGTGTTAAGAGGTAACAAACAAAGCAACTCACTGTTATATTTATAATATTACTACCTGATACCTCTGATTTCGTTCGTGTGGCTGGAAAGTGTTCACTAATCGGGTTTAAAAAGAGACATCTTTATCCTATAGTATGAGTATCTATACCAAATTTCCTAATGATTTATCAAGCAATAAAGGTGCTAAAAAATAAACCTACTTTTATATTTATAATATATAAGTTCAGTAACAATTCTATAAGTTTTAGAAAAGATTATCTAACTTTTTCACAATTATTAATCAAACAGAGTTTTAAACAAAAGACCATTAACAATGAATTATTTAATTATTACCAAATATAAAAAGAAAAGAAAACCGCCATGCAAGCAAAAACGGTTACCAAATACATATTTATTAGAAGGGAAGGAACTACAAGTCTTATTTTTAACAATATATCCTGTCAGATTGACCTCCACGTGGTCCCTCCTGGAAACCAGCGGACTGAATTTCAGATGTATACATCACGATGGACTAACTGAACTGCCTTTTTAACCTCACCTACCATCCATCACTGGTGCCCCGCCAGTATATACTGTTAGCGCAGACGGCGTTACAATTCCATTATCATGTATTAAAATAACATATTTATTTTCTTGTAAATTGTTATTCGCCAATCTATGCGTCCGTAACATCGACCATGAAAATGATCCGGCAAAGTCGCAAAACCGACACAGAATGACAAGCCGCTAATCCCTAGGGCTATGCATAATTCCACCTCGAAACATTAAGCGCTTCTGAAGATTAGAAGCGCTTCGAATAAGTAGTACTTTTAACTTAGCATCGTATCATACGCACAAAATATTAATATGCGTATAACATTAAAATTGTTGCTTTAAGGATTATTATCATTGCGTGTTTTACCTTCTTAATTTAGTAAAGTTAAGGATGTGATTCGTTACGATTCTGATAATTCGACTGTGGAAAAAGTTGTTGATCGGAAAAATTTCAATCGGTAGATACCTAAATTTTTTCGATTACTATTTTTTTTTGATGGGTGAAAATGGTATGGTAACCCCGCCTGCGCTAACGGGATACGCTGGCGGAACACCAGTGAAGGGTGATAGATGAGAATGAAAACAGGCCAGTTAGTCCATCATGATGAATTCATCAGGAATTAATCATGATAGTTTCCAGGGAGAACCGCGAGGAGGTCGACTTGGTTGGGTATATTGCTGGCAATGGGATTCTCAGCCTCTATAACTAACAATCCCTTTCCCCCCGATTACCGACTATTCGGTAAAGTAGATAAATATTTGACGATAATATTATTAAATAAACATAAGAGTATTTCAATAAATTATATTTTTCTTAACTTTCTGTACTAAATTTACAAAGAAAAATCGATCAATGAATTTTAAAAATCCTTGCACCTCTAGAAAGCTATCTTATCATTGAGTAACATAGGCTATATATTATTTTTGATGATTTTATCTACTCGTGCGAAGCCGTGCCGAGTCACTTGTACTAAAATAATAAAGAGAACAGTCCTCATTGACTGTTTTATCAATATACATCTGAATCCACTAAAATCAGAATTAATAAATTTTGATAGTAGGTTTCTTTAATGACTTTTCTTTTATAAATTTTTCGTAACTTGACATCTACATAAATATAAAGGTAGAAATTTATATAACATTATTTTTCTAACCAAAAGGTACTTGAAATTTACCATAAATAATCTTAAATAAAAATAATGTAATTTAATTTCTGCATTTTTCAAAATTTAATCTTAGGGTTTGAATTTTGTTCTGTTAAAAAAGGGATAAAGGTGTTTAGAAATATCTTGACTGACTCATCAATGCACAGGCGAAACTACTAAAGTTAGGAAATTTCAAACTTAGTTGATTCTTTTTGTAACTTACATAAGTAATAAAAAAGTGTTTTTCGAAATTCTAACCCCAAGGGTGTAAAAGTAGAGATGGAAGTTTGTATGAGCAAGTACTAGTACTTTTTAATTGATTTACTTGACATTAATCCTCCATATATCTCTTATAACTTAATGTGTAATAATGGAACTTAATTTCAGTGTTTATTAAAAATAATACCATAATTATATTAAATAAAAAAAGATAAAAAAGATAAAGTAAAAAAATACTTTTGAAGATTGATTTAAAAGTAAAACTAAGAAAGTAATAATAATCACAAATAAAATAGAGAATGCTACTAAGCATTAGTATCATTACCATATTTTCTTTTGGTCGGCAAATTTATTTAAATAAATTTGTAAATAAAATATGGATAAATATATAAATATTTTTGTTCGATTATTTTCTTAAATAAAACAAAGATTTGTTCGAAGTTCCGGGTGTTTTGGGGATAAAATTAACATGATAAATAACTGTTTTAAAGCTGATTATATAAATTATATTATGTACTTACCATAAATACAAAGTTTTATCTTTACAACAAAAAATACGTTTGGTACGTATGTAGATGTGCCTTGTCCTAATTTAACACATAGATAGGATAATTTATATTCTAATTAATGGGGGCAAGGCCGCGGGATAGCGAGCTTATGTATAAATGTAAAACAAAATAATAATTTATATCAAATATTGTCTTCCATTAGAAACTTGGATTTAAACACATCTTGGAAATTTATAAAAGCGTTCTATTAAACACATTTTAAAATACCAGTAGATTATATTAATACTATGCCATGACAGTTTTTTATATTTTAGTAATGGTTATATTACATTTGCCAGGAGGGGAGATGTGAGATGAACGCTAAGAGGATCCTAGGTAAAGGATAATATTTTGTTATTGCATTAATTTTGTCTTTTAAAAAACAACGGGAAAGTCTAAAGATTATATACATTGTTTTGGTTAGAATTTGTTCTTAATTTTTGTGCCCTTTGGGAAATGATGCGAGCTGAAAAGTTAGCGAGGGAAATCATTGATATAAATTTTGTAAAATGTTCAGACACCATGCCTAGTAGGGCGTATAATTTCTTGTTTGAGCCGTGATCCCTCCCCCCGCTCGTCGCGCCCCGGGGCAATGGATAACTTTACCGGGTGCCATTTGGAGCCGATCTCTCAGAGTGACTTATCGGCAAGTTTAGCAGCGATATATCAAAGTAATCGCTTTAATTTCTCATCTCCCACTTTGGGGGAGAACTTATGCTTATTCCTTGACTGATATTGTCGTGATTTGTGATGACGCACCGATTTCGATAACGCATATTGGTAAAATTAATTTTGAAACGTGGCATGAACATTTTATACATAAATATGTACAGGTATAGAGATAAATACACATATTCCTTTTTGAATTGTAGTCTATTTGTTGATAAGAACGATGTGGTGTATGCGTGTAGCTACTTGCAGTTCATATTGGTAGGATTAAAATACTGCGTTTTGCATCAAGCATAAGATGACTCTATATTTTACGTGCAATCTAAATTAAAGGTTTGTATTGTCTATATTATATACCTATCTATCTATATAAAAACGACTTACGATAAAGAAAAAAAATATTTTTGTTCATTGTAAGTTGCTTATATAATGTACTAAAGGCAACGTACTTAAAGGAATTGCACAAAACGAATTAGAAAGTATATAAATCCATCAGAATTTATCAGAAAAAATGTGTATAATTATGTATGTTTATTTTATTATAATCCTATTTACTTTCTATTTACGATTATCCGCTAATTGTTTTTTTCTCTCATTGCATTAGGTTGGCTGGAAAAGATCTCTGTCAGAGATAAGCCCACCCTTGCTAACAAGATGTTTAATTAATCGCGTATCTTTTTTTACATGTACAATAAAGAATATATATAAAATAGTTAGTTGCCATTGTAAAGTCCACCTTGTTGCTATAGTAAGCACATTGTTCCGGAGTTAGTTTCTCGGTTTGGCCAATTTAAGTGTTGAAGTTTTCTAAAGTGCCGCTGGCCAGGGGTTTCAGGGTCGTGCCTTCAAATGTTTTCTCATAACTATTTGTAATTATTGTTATATTTTACTTACTTACTTATAGGTACTTATTACTCTATATTATTTGTCTATTATTTATAAATCATATTTATGATAAGAGAATTAAAAGTGAATTAGGTAATTTATCAAAGGGCTAACAAAATTTAAATAAAGTTTACAATGTAGTAGGTACGTAAATTACACATAATTTTACGCAGCAATTTAAGTTCCATGCTACGCAATCGCGTGTGCTTTATGCACGTGAGTGAAGCCAATCATAATATAGCATATTTTTGCTGAAATATGAACAATACTTTCTATTCTACCAGAGAGAGACTTTGTGTGAAAGTTATCTGCATGTTTACCTCTGTCTCACTCGTGTTTTTGCCGTTAACACTCTTCTGATTCGATTTGAGGTATGGAAGGGTACAGGATATGAAAATATAATACCCTTAGGAATGGTATTGCATGGAGAGTGCCTTGGGCGTCATAGTGACAGTACCATCGGTATCACCAAATAGGTGTTATCTAAGGTACTGTTTATATTTATAGGCAAAAAATATTGTTTTCTATTAGATTGTTTATAATTCTAAGTTAAATAAGAAAAGTAAATACGTAAATAGAACTGCCGACTGTTTTGTTATCATGAATAATACAAACATTTAATCTTGCATTATATTTCTTTAACGTAGTGAGAAATTTTTAAAAAATCTCCATACACGAGATCACTTGTAGAAAGTCTAATGTTTCTAATGAAATTTTATTTTTATATTTAATTGTAGTATTTGCTGCTAACAAATAAGTGATATTAAGATACTTACCACCTCTTACTTCGCAGACGAGAACGAGTTCGTTACCCTCTTCAAGTGGTCCTACGATTCCCGACACGTCCCGGCCCGACTTATCGTACAGCATTAGTTGGTGTGGAGGTACTGTAAAAAACAATGTATTTTTAATCTTTTGAATAATTAATTATATTTACTTAAATATAAATTAATGAGTGTCTAATAAGAAAAATGTGAGCGTTAGATGGGATCAAAATATTTACAGCCTACCTGGTGGGGACTAGAAAATTATTTGGATAATTTAAATAAAATGTATATATCCATATATTTTTAACTAAAAAAAAATTGATGCTTTTTTGTTGAAAAAAAAAAATTGTTGTTGTTAAAAATGTTGTCAACACCACAGTTATAATCACAATATAATATGTTTACATTCTATTCTAAAGTTGTTGAGTCATTTTTATTCCTCTTATATAAGTACATCTTGACATTTCAGGCAAGATCTCATCAAAAATACTGGGAATTTGGTATAAGAAAAACATGTGTAAGGGACACAATATCTTCGTACGTATGTGATCCTTTACAAAAGTGAAGGGCGGGACAAAGTTGGGAATAAATAACGATGAGTAGCGGGACTCATCAAATAAGCAAGTGACGGCCCCGTATACAACAATGACCTGTGATTGTGTACATGAAAATAAAACAGTGGGAGCATTTTATTTTAATCGTTAATTGACTTATGTTTACCAAATGTCTTTCCTACGAGTTGTCACTATATCATTAGAAAATATATAAAATATACTCTGAAATATTTTATTTGTTTAAATTTTATTATGTACTTTACTGTAGTATTATTCATTTTGTAATATTATAAAAGTTAAGAATTTATTTGAAATGGACTTTTTAAAACATATACTATTGGCTATACTCCATGGCTTCGCCTACGTAAATGGATAAAAATAACTTAAAATCAATCTTTAAATGATACGTCAGTGTGTGACATTTCATAGATATGTATACAATCGTTTAAATGTAATTGAGAAATAAGTTTGAAAATTTTACATTTATAATATTATCAGGATTAGTTATTTACATAAAAGATACTGACTGATATAACTCACAGCCAAAAATGTTGACAGAAACAAAATTTTACACACGGTTATGGTTATGGTGTTCATGACATATGCTATATCATAATGGATTTCATAAGGGTGAAGTCGCGAGAATTATCTAGTATTACATACATAGCCTTAGTTTAAACTCTGTTACGTAACCTTACAGTAATATAAGGAGTATTTATAAACCGTTTTTCTCTTTTCATTTAAGAGTTTCCTCTTGTCGGTGCAACTAATTCATGCATCTTCCTCCAGCCAGCGCTATCCCAGGCCATATCCTTTATCTCCCTATACGACATGACGCCTAGTGTTTCCTTTATCTGTCCCATGTAGTTATTCCTCGGTCTTCCTCTTCCTCTTTTGCCCTCTATCTTTCCTTCTACTATGCTCTTAAAAAATCGTCATATCGTATATGGTGGCCCAGCATTTTGCCTCTTCTATTCTTTATTATTTCAACTAATGTTCTCTTCTCGTTCACTCTTTTTAGGACTTTCTCGTTCGTTAGTTTTTCTACCTTTTTTTTTTGTAGTATAATACAGTCGTGTTTCGTAATAGGTTTCTAAGACGATTAATTACGATTTATGTAATTGACAATTCAATAGGAACGAATAACGTTAATAATAGCTTATACAGTAAAGAAATCGTAGAATCAAAAACTAAATCTATTTACGATTTATTTACGTATTCTCATTTAGCAATTGTACAATTAGGTCACAAAATATGAATCGTTTTATGATCTATTATGAAATGTATAAAGTGGTCGCAAGCCTCTTATCTCACAAATACATACCTAACGGGAGGTAGGTAATTAACTAACCTATGTCCTAATAGGCAATCTAAACTTTAGGCTAACTTTCCACGGCGCTCAGTGCTTCGAGTCAGCAAACAAATTTTGCTGAAAGGTAACACTCACATTTGCGTTGAAACGAGGATTAATAAGGATAAGTGAGCAGATATTAAGAAATGACTTCACTGCTTATAATTCTATACGACGCTGTCAACATGACTTAGCGCGTTAATGATAGGGGGAAGGGGACAATTGTTCCGTGTTTCGTGCATACAAGTGTCACACTACTGGTGACAATGGCTAATGAATTTTGTATGGGTTAGTATGTGCTGTATCATTAAAGAATATAAATATTAATAAAGAAAAAAAAATAATATAATGAAAAATAAATTTAAGAAAAGGCTGTCGTTGTTCGCAATAATGATTTAGAAGTCTGTTCATCTCTTTTATGAATTACAATTATTAATCAATTACAAACCAAATTAATTCGTTTGAAAATTAGTTTTTTTTTCATGTCTATTAATACTGCTATATAAAGTGTCTCTGATTACGGGTTTTGGGTATATATTTGTAAGTATATTTAGTTTTTTTTTACATAATAAAAGATGATTTCATCTGGCTGTAATCCTAGCAAATCTTGTGCGTCGACTATTGTGCAGAGAGTCCTTATATAAATTGTAAGTAATTATATAATTATATATCAATTGATTCAGTAACTATGCAGTAAGCATACTATGTAATATTAACTTATAAAAATTTGCGCTCAATGTTTTATGTTTTATAACAGGTATAACTGGGTCGAAATGTCGAGAAAATTCTACCTGAATTTTCATTTTTTATATTATCATAGTTTATCTAAATAATCGCGTTAATTCCAGTCTTTTATAAAACAAAATTTGGTGTTACGAGAAACAAGACAACGAACATCTGGAGACCCAATCTAGAATACTAGTCCCGAGTGAATTTAGAAGAATTCGTTTCTTAAATTGTTTCGACTCAACATCAAACCCGGTATCTGAATTAAGCGTCACAGAGGTCGTACATCCATTATTATCCACAGAAAGGGTCTTAAGAGCCTTATATGTACATATATATATGTATACATATGCCTTGCTTCATTCACTTTCATAACTCGTATTAACAGTATTACATTCGTAGTATTATGTAATCACCAAGTAGCAATCTTAACACCCTACACTTTACCAATTAATTAAATTGCTGAAATAAACGCTTCAAAAACCGCTACCGTAACATGACAAACGCTACTAATTACGGTTGAGCAAACAAAACAATAGTTCGAGAACATGTACAATCGACAATACAAGTAACTCGGCAAACAGACATATTAACATTATTGTACCTTAACGCAAAGCATTAGGGTTCAAAGGGGTTGTGTAACTTTTATGACTGATCGTATTGGGACAGAAAGGACGACCGCAAAACCGAAACGCACCCTCACACTATCAGCGCCCTCAAATATCCTACCAGTAAAAATAGATTTGTTCTATTAGATCTACAGGGACGTTATTCTATTATTATTTTTATTTATTGAAAAAGGAGAAAATATGGTTTCTTTCGTATGTTTTGCTTCGCAATTTATTCATAGTTGTAATTATCAAAGTGCCACGTTTCACTTAATAAGAGAGTAGTTTAGTTTTTAAATGAAAATAACTGCTTTTGCCATAACTGAAGTCGGTTTTTTGTGGAACACAATTTAATTATTGAAGGTCCTTAACAATAAAACCTTAGCATTATATTAAAATTTTTAAAGTTAATAATTTAATTTTTGTGATATAATATGTTATATTTTTTACATTTCATGCATCTCCTTAATTTATTTTAAAATATTCCTTATTTAATTTTCTTACTTTATTTTTTTTTTATTTTTATAATTTTTTTAATTATGATCGAAATTAAGCTTTATTTATACATTTATTTTGTATGTTTATTGTACTCAATACTTAGTATGTTTTATTAAACATATTGAAATTGAGAGAAATAAAAATACTGACTTAATTATTGTATCTCGTTCTTAATTAACAATTAGTGTGAACCTTCTTAGTTTTAGTTTGTTTCAGGCATTGATTTCAGGGTTCATAAGAATAGTTTTTTATAATTATGGCATCTAGAACATTAATGGGGGCGATGAGTTAATATCCATATTTATTATTAATGAAAATATTAATTATTATTGGTATAATTACACCTTATTTACTATGGAAATCTATTTTCAAACATTTAGGATTATAGGTCTGTTCAAGTTATTGACTTCTTTTGTTTAAAAATAGATTACTATAGTATTAAAATTTATACCAGTAGATACGTAGACATTATATTTATATTTTATTATAGTCGTCTAAGTTACATAAACTAAAACGAAAAATGCGTACATTTTCAAGTTTAATATGCTTTACTTAACAGAATATTATAACATGCTGATGTTCATAATTTTCTTTAAATTAGGTATGCTATAATAAAATTTGTATTTTTCGCGTAGAAAAATTATATTGAATCTGCAATAATATAACTTAGATATCTAGAGGCGAAGCAAACAATACGAAGGGTAAATATGTAAATGTGTTTTAATCGAACTTCTCGAACTAAGTTTTAGCTTAGAGAATTCAGTTTCTATTAGAATGTATCTCTCCCGAGGCTTGGCTATTTGTAAATAGTTTAAGGCTGTGTAGGAGGTCATTTCATCATAGATTTAGGTAACATTTGCAAAAAGAAAATAAAACTGGTCAGGTGCGGATCGTATTTGCGCGTCGAGTGTTCCGTACATACAAAATAAAATGATTTTCATTTAATTTTTTTATACGAAATAGACAACTAGATGAATTTATTATTAATATTGTAATTCGTGATTTTTTATTTTGACCCATAATTTTGGTTAAAAAGTGAACCGCATATCTAAATTTGTTTTTAGAGTTTTTTTTTGATAATTTCTCAAAAACGGCACTAGGTAGGAACATAGTTTTATTTTGTTAAATAATAAATATCGTGAGTCATACTGTATTCCAATTATTTATGTCGGCTTTACTCACGTCTTAAACTCGGGGATGCCAGATTGGTCCCAAATTTATTGAGTTTGAAATCCTTATTCATGAACGAACGTATTACGGTTATATCGCGAATAGCACATTCGAAATAAATAATTACAATATGGGTTAATTTTTTATGTAATATTTATATTATTATTATATCAGACGTTAATTGTTCACTGCTAAACATAGGCCTTCACTATA